CCCGGGGCAGGGGGAGGCTGGGGGGGGGGGAAGTGTCTTCCAAGTAGAGTTTTCACAAGCAGTTAGTTTGCGAGCTAGCAGGAAGTTTAGATACCGCCAGAGATAAAGTTATGCAAATTCCTCCATCATCAATCATCATTATTATCATTAATAATTATTTTTTTTTCCCTTTCAGCATCCGCACGGACTCTTGTCGCTCGCTCCTCCCCGGCCGGGCCTCGCCCTCCACAGCACAACACAACGCCAAGCCCCGTGGCTTCAAACTCAGGGGTTTGGGGGATTTTTGGGGGGATAGGAAGAGAAGAAGACGGGGTAGAAACAGTTCAGTTTATTAATGGAGAAGAGGGAAGGGAGGGGGGGGCGAGCGGGACCAGCGAGCGGCCCCTTCTCTGCCTCTGGGCTCACAAGGAAACACAGCGACTGCGAGGGATCCCGAGGGGTTACACAGAGGGAACCGAGCCCCTGGAAGCAAATAAAAGGCTTAAAATAAGGATTATTAAAAAAAAAAACAAAACAAAAAACCAAAAAACAATAAGCCCCAAAACAGCAAAAAACACCAAAACCAACCTTTGATGTACATTTCTCCGTTTTTTCCCTTTTTCGCTAAGGTCAGAAAGTGCAGGTTTAAGCCAAGGGACTCTACTTGGGGACAGCCCCGGTGCCATCGACCTGCCCGACCCCCAGAGCCACCGGGCTGGGAAGGGTTAACTCCCACCCAGAGCAAAACCCCCAAATACAGAGGGAAAGGGGGGGGATGACACCTCCTCAAGTTGCTGGAAGGGGAAGGAGCCGCTCAAAACTGGAAGTTCCAGAGCCACCAGGCTGGGAAGGGTTAACTCCCACCCAGAGCAAAACCCCCAAATACAGAGGGAAAGGGGGGGGATGACACCTCCTCAAGTTGCTGGAAGGGGAAGGAGCCGCTCAAAACTGGAAGTTCCAGGTTAAAAACACCGCCGTGTCATTAAAATTAAATCAGCGTCACCCACTGCCTGAACGACTTCCCAAAAACTCGTTTTCTGATGAGCCGGGGGGGCAGAGCCGGGGGGGGGGGGGG